TGACTATTTGATTTGCTGTTTTCTCCAATGCTGTGCCTCAAAATCTGTGGGGATAATATGATGGCAGCCTGATACATTGGCCCAATCAGGCTGTTCTTTTTCTCTGTTAAGATGACATTTTAAACAGCACATTCACAAACAATTAAAGATTTCATACTCTTAAATGTTCTGCACAACGTCTGGACCAGTACCTTTATTGTATACACCAAGCATGAAGAGCTATCAGGGTCTCTATTTTCAAAGACATGCTCCTCCTTACAAATAAAAAATAAGAATAAAAAGTCAAGGCAGATGCACACTCTGATACCCATAAATTGGCAGCACACTGAGGTATACCAGGAAGGTTAAAATTATGAAAACTATTCCCATCTGCAAGAACTTTCCAGTTTGCAGAAATTTTGTTTCAAAGCAGGGCCAACTGAAAGTGAGGGCAGGCCCATGTTACTTACTTGAGTTGGGCATGTGCAATTGGCACTTGTGTTTTGGATTCCCACATCCCTGAGGGTGCTCTTAAGAAGCCCCCTTAAGTTTTGAGTGGTTTTGCAGAGTAATGATGGAAATGCTAGACTGTCCCTGAACTGGCTCTAACGTAATTAATTATGCCTTTTTCTCCTGCTGGATTCATATTGCTCTGAAAGCCAGTATATTTGTTCTTCCTGCAAACACAAGGCCCTTATTTTTGTGAAGCTAATCAGAGTCACACTATTTGGTATTGAATCTCCTTGGAATGAACAAATACTCTGGATATAACAGAGCCAGAAAATGTGACTGTCTCAGGATAGGCTTGTCCATCCGTGCAATGGAAGCAAGGAGAGACACACTGACCTTTGGATCTGTGTTTCGGGAAGTGTCTTTGTTAGAAGGTGGTGCCCGTGTTCTAGAGCCAAACATCTGTTTCTTTATACTACAAACACTGATTTCTTAGAATATCAAGCTCGGTGTCTTGTGAATGTCTTTAAAATTCTGGGGATAAGACAAAATTCACTGTTTTGAAAGTTATGCTTATTGTGAGCTGCTGAACCTGAAATGATAGTTCAAAAGATGAGCTAAATAAACTGAAACACTGACATATTATCAAGCAGCAACTTCTTTCCATTCTGGTCCATAGAAAAGAGAAAAATTAAGGAAAAATCTCAGGAAAAGTAAGAACAGAGAACATCAGGAAAGCGAGATTCAGTACCACTGAACCCTTGGGAAGGTGGCTCCAGGAGCTCAGTGGTTTTGTGTACAGGCTGTGGGCTCTGTGCCCTGCATGTGTCTTGCATGACTGTGGTTCACCTTAAGATACAGCAATGTCTGTTCTTAGGTTCTAAGAGTTGACTACTTACAAACATGGTTTCTCCAGCAGGCTTTGAAGGTCTTGCTCTTATAGTGGTGTTTGTCCTTACAGCAGTAACTCTACTGCTGGTGGTTTAGAGGCTCAACCACTTCCTTGGAGATACCTCCACACAGCATTTTGCAAGCCCCAGGGCAGGTCCCATGCAGTCCTCTTTGCCTACAGGCAGCAAGAAGGGGGTAGGCACAGCACTGATCCCAAACAAGATATCATAGATTGAACTCCGTACTGCTAACATTCACTCCATTCTTAGTCAGCTCACAATTCAGGCAGACCTTCTTCACATCTGCCTGTAGAAAGCCTACACACACCTCCCCAAAGACATGCGATTAACTGCTGATGTGTTTATCAAAAGAAAGATGCTCTTATTTTAGGGAGAAACAGATGTGAAAACACATTCCAGGATACTACAAACCAGCAGTCTTTAAGACCACACCTCAAGCTACAACACTGTGAAGAATTCAGCTGGGCAAAATTACCCCTTGCCTTTGACGAATCCCAAGTGCTACCATCACTTTACTGTACTTTTCATAAAGACAGCTGATTTTGTAATGATGGAAGATTATAACATCTGATTACATTGCACATGACAGAACTTACATCCTACCCACAAAACATTTCAATGAAATACGGCAATCTTGATTCTTGACCAAAAATGTAAAATTTGAAGATAGGAGATCATGGCCCATTTCAATGGCACAGGAGGCAGACAAAGACAGCAACAAGCTTAGTAAATAAAGCAGCTGAATTGGCTGTAAAAAAAAAAAAAAAAAAAAAAAAAAAGGTTGTTCAATTCAACTCCATCCCAGTTTCTGAATTTTAAATTAAAATAAACCAAAATATGTCAGATTAGAATAACCTTTGAAATTCCCCCTACATAATTTATTTAAAATTTTCATCTAAAATTCATTAAAATAACTAGCTTGAGCAGAAATTCAACCTGCAGCATATAAGGACAGACAGCTGAGTAAAGTCATTTTTCCTGTTTCATTTAGGTATGGGGTTTGGCTCCAATATTGTATATAACATCTCACTAAAGGTTTAATAAATAAATAAATAAATAAATAAATAAATAAATAAATAAATAAATAAATAAAGCTTGCTCTCCTTTTGGAAAGAAATACAAAAAAGCAACCTGCTCTAAAGCCTCATGCATCATTTACTTCCTTTTTGTAGGATACTAACTGACTCACCTTCTAATCCTCTTCAGTTCTCCTTTATTCCAATAAACATATATTGACTCTTGTGTGTCCTGACTTGGGTTGCTTAACTCAAAATGGGTGGTACTTGAAGAAAGCCCACAGATCTGTTTTGGGTGAGGTAAAGTGCTTTGGGACCTGCTCTTTGTTATGCAAA